GCCGATCTAAAAGAAGAAGGAGGAGGGGGAAAAACGAATTAAGGTAACAAAAAAGAATTAAAAAAAAAACAACAGTAATTGAAGGAGAGTAATTTTTTTTTTAATTTTTGTTCCTATTTTTTTTATTTCTTGCAAAGGTGAGCGTCAGGAGGTTTTATTTATGTCGGTGATAAATAAATTAAAAACAAAGAAACAAATAAAAATAAATACCCCCATCTCCCCTAAAAAAAGACGAAAATCAAATAACTATTTGGCTGAATGGACAACATTCAGATTAAATTTCACGAGAAGCTTGTTTTCAGTTTTTATTTTATGTTATTCTTTGTTTTTGTGATGTTTGAGGAGAAGGACAATGTCTATTATCTTGGATGATTTTCTTGATGGGGCAAGAATGATCCAGCCAGGACATTAATGGGGAGAGAAATAAAAAGAAAGGAATATACTTCAAAATAAATAAATAGATAAATAAATAGATAAATAAATAAATAAATAAAGAACAAAATAAGAAAGCCACAAAAAAGAACGACAAAAAACCCCCCAAAAACAGAAATCGTCTCCCCAAAGATATTTATGAGAAGGTAGATTCATATATACTCTTAGTCTTATAACACAATAAGTAAAAAGAAAAACCCCAAAACGAAACAAAAAAAATATATATATATTATAAAACATGATGTAATTCATGAATTTTTTAGATATATTTTTTATTGTCTACATTTTATTTATTCATACTGGTATAGAGGGAATTGGCTGGTATCACTCGTACTATCGTGTGTGTGTGTGTGTGTGTGTGTGTGTGTGTGTGTGTGTATGTGTGTTTTCATTGGGGACAACAAGATGCAGAAAAGAAGCAAGTACAAAATAAATGAATAAATAATGCATAGCTAAACAGAAAAAGAAATGCCTCAAATCTAAATCCCTTGATGTTATTCAGATTGCAACAATGATATCAGCATAAAATTGAGCGCAGAGTTATCTCCCTTGGCTTTCTCTATTCCTTCCAAACCCGACCATCTTTCTGAATCTCAAACTTTTGCATAAAAGATAGGATGTCGCGTTGCTGAGAACAGCTCAACGAGCCCATAGCGAAAGTGATTTATTAAGTTACATTCTCCACTTCAAATAAAATATTACATGTTACACACATCCTTAGCGAAAGTTTTTTCTTTCTTCTCCATTGTAACTACCAACTATGCTTGTGTACACGTCGAGATTAAGGCATAACTTTTTTCTTATACAATACATTAAGGCATAACTTTTTCTTATACAATCCCCATGTATCAAAGCCTATAGTCATTGAAGACGATGATATGTACAGACAAACCTCTCATCAACGGACTAATAGGGGGAATGACAAACCTCTCATCAACGGACTAATAGGAGGAATGAGTGGTCTGTTAAACCCGATTGTCCGTAGATGTGAAGGAATTATTTTTGAGTTACAAGACCACCATAGTAACTGCTAGTAGCTCTGATCATAATGTAAATACTATGAACATGGGGATATGCCATCAATAAATATATATATCAAAAATATTATATATATCAAAATAACAAAAATAATAGATTTCTCAAAGTTACTTTCTCACGAAAGCGCTAATGTAGCGTACTTTATATACTGTACACCCGTCTTTGTTTAAAATTGAAAGGCCAGCCACCGCCGCCAAGCGGTCACTTTAAGAACTAATACGACTCGTTCTACGAAGCCCGCAAATTTTGAAATACATCGCTGACGATTTGGAAGTTTGTTTTTTCCTGCATAACTTTTTTCTTTATTTTGCCGGCAGATTTTGTTCCTTGCATCCGAAGTCCGTTGATAGGGTCCATAGATGAGAGGTCTTCTACTGTCTTCAAATCGTTTTCACCTTTCATACCACGTCTTTAACAAATACTACTACTACTGGTAATAATAATAATAATAATAATAATAATAATCAAAGGTAGCGATATATGTGCACTGGAAGATATGCAAGAAGCACAAAATCGAAACCACTGAGAGATGATATGGGCACCAACCAGACACAGTTATCCAAAATAATGATGTAACTATCCTATGGGACATGCCAATTCAAACTGTCAGGGAAATAAAAACCAACAAACCTGATATTATCATAAAAGACAAGAAATTCAGGAAGTGTATGCTCATTGACATCGCAGTACCATCTGAGAGAAACACCTCCATGAAAATTATCAAGAAATTGTCCAAGTACAAGAATCTGGAGATCGAAATTAACAGGATGAGATTGTACCAATAGTAATCAGAGCACCGGACCTCGTGAGAAAAGGAATGGACAATTTTACTAACAGTGTCCCAGGTAACATCAACATACAAGTTACCCAGAAGATCTCCGTTCTAGGAACATCCCATATACTAAAAAATGTGCTATCAATTAAATGACAATTCTCCTATAGAACCTAAGGACCATAGTTTTGATCCGGTTCTATGGACACAATCTAAGAAACATAAAAATATTAATAATAATAATAAGTAGTAGTAGTAGTAGTAGTAGTAGTAGAAGTGAACATTTTCCGGTTTTACTATTTGAATATTCTGAAGAATCATAATTCTTAAGTTAATGATTGAATAAACACCTTGCTAATTCTACGACTATAAAATACAATATTAGTAATTCACCTACGCCATTGTTAAAATATATTAAATTAACAACATAAAAAATATTGGCATAACAATGAACGCTGATCATTATTTAAAGAAGTAAGAGGGTTAAAATTGGCATGATTTTTCCATTTCACTGAAGCAGACGTTAAACACATGAGAGCGTTATCGCCTCCCCTATCTTTCTTTCTTTCGTGCTTTCTTTCTTTCCTTCTCTAAAACCAAACAAGTCCTTTGATATATCTTTCCTTTCGTCTATCCTCGCAATCAAACAGGAACTGCCCATTGTTTATCTAAGGTAATGATAGGGCGTAACGTACGGGATAACTAACTAATTAAGGATCTAAGGAACAAGCTGATTTGTAATATGATAAAAATAGCAAGGGGAGGAAGCATCATAGACAGGTATAAAAAGAGTAGTTATTAGATTAGAAGGGGGATACAGCCAAGGCGACTTGGGAGTCACACCTAGATATCAAAGAACACTCTCAACCATCTGAGTGAACTGGATTAATTGATCTGAAAGAGATACATGTGCTTGCTATACACTTACCAGTCTTTTGAACACGGGTAGAGGATTATTACTTGTTTCCGGTTTAGGATTGGGTTTCCGGTTCTTTCAAAAGGCTTTTCCAGCCTTATACTTGTAACAACCCCGCCTAAACACTGACATTTTATTTAATAATTATTTTTCCTCCTCTATATGAGTAGAAAGGTTCGCCTATCGTACGGTTCACCCTCCTCTCCAATCTTTTGAACAGGAGTAGAGTTTTATCTCTTGTTTGCTGTCTAGGATTGAGTATCCAGTTCCTTCCAATGTATTTTTCAGTCTCTTTTACTCCCACTATCTCTTTGCGTCTTTGACATTATCAATTTGCTTGAGGTGAGCTGATTAAAATAAAGTCATACAGCCTATGCAAGGCTTACGGCCATATAGCGTGAAACACCGGTCCCCATACGGGTCTGGTCAGTAGTTAGATGGAAAACCGCTTGGAAAATACCAGCTGTAAGCTTGGATGTGCGGGTGGTGTAATGGATAATGACTCGGAATTGTTAATCCGGGAGCCGAGTTCCTATTTCAGTTGGGTTTGTTATATTCCAAATAGTTTTTCAGAAAGCTTCCATCGCTTCTCTCTCCAGCTATGGGTTAATTAATAACATTTGCATCAATAAATCATTAATGTCTATCACTCTCGCCAAATTCTACCAATCTAAAAATATTTTCTGGCTTTAAATAACCTGCAAAGTGTTGATAAGGCGTAGGAAACGAATCAGTCGATCAAACAGCGAGACACCCCCCCTCTAGCTACGCTACTGATTGAAAGACATGCTATCCCTATGCAACTTCGGCTTTCGATGCCTCATTTTCCATCATCTGTTAAAACACTTGTTTGATTCTGACGTCTTTAATTCGAATTCAAATCAACACTAGATTGGTTAAGGCACCTCGACGTGGTGTAATGGTTAACAAGTCTATCTCGTGAGAACAATTACGACTGACATTATTTACATTATTCGGACTATTGTCCTCATTTTTGTCACCGTATTTATTACAACATTTCGGCCGTTGTACGCTCCCGCCTTCTTCAGGTGGTTGGAATGTCGAACTGAGGACACATGGCACAGTGGATAAAGGCGTTGGTTAGATCCAGTGACAGGACCCAAAGTGTGTGAGTTCAATACCCGGTTAAGGCAGTGGAGAACTTTCAGAGGGAAAATTAACAGGAGATAACTGATAACCGACACCCATTAAACATGGCACGTGGAACTAGAACAGTCTACCCCAGTGAGCGAAATAAAGGGTTCAGTTCGATATTCTAACCACCTGAAGAAGGCCGGAGCGTACAACGGCCGAAACGTTGTAATAAACATGACGACAAAGAGGAGGACAATAGTCCGAATAATGTAAATAATGTACATAATACCTCACCTCAGAAATATAGACAGATACTGAAGGGCCGAAACGTTGGAATAAATATGGCGACAAAGATGAGGACAATAGTCCGAATAATGTGAATAATGTACATAATACCTCATCTCAGAAATATAGACAGATATTGAATTGCGATTGAGTAGTGAGTTCCATCCTCATTGGGTGCCCCATACTTTCGGCCTGGTGTCACATCTAAGGTACGGTGAGAAAATCATTTGGGCACTTCGACGTGATGTAATGGTTAACAAGCTTGTCTTGCTGGATCAATTACAACTGAATAGTGAGTGCCATCATCACTGGGTGTTCGATACTTTCGACCTGGTGCCACATCGATGTTATGGTTAGAAAATCATCAACACTAGATTGTCAAGAAGAAAGATAACGGTTTAGAAAAAGATATCATTGCTGTCTCTTTACCGGGATAGAGTTTTCTTTGACAAATTCTCTTCGTTTCTTTCCTTTATAGCCCATTCTTCTTCCAGACGCCCTTCTTCTATCATCATTGGTCAGCCTTCACCTCTTTGCCCAACACGTCTTCCTTTCTACCACTGAGCCAACCAGTTAGAGCAAGCTGTTACCCTGCCCAACATCTTGCTTTCACTTGACTGATAATTCATTTAAGTTTATTATTCAATTACAACGGCTCCATGATCAGAAGTAGAAAACAAAGAACCAGCCAAGCCAATATATATATATATATATATATATATATATATATATATATATATATATATATATATACGCACACGCGCGTACGCGCGAAGTGGTGCTGAAAAATTCTCGGCCAGACCAGAAGGATTCTTTTGTGGGGTTTGATTTTGGAAAGTGGTTCAGGCAAATACTTTCTCAGCATTCCTTAAAATATATACATATTCTACTGGTATGTATTATGATAGACACGGTAGAGTAATGGATTGTGGCTCGGATTGAAAGCCAAGTTCGAATTCCAGCCGAGTTCATCACATGAATCCAATTTTTCTCCCCTCAGCTATGGATAAAAAATCAGGACAGACTGGATTCTATAGGTTTGGGTGGTAGCTGGTCTAGGAGAAGGAAAGACCCTGAATTCAAAACTGTATGTAGCCCTGGTGAAGCACATACTATGCAGCTAAGGAAACGATCGTTCGCATTGACGCGATGATCCCGACCACAGTCGACTCCATATATATATATATATATATAAAGAATAATCACACATAGAATTAATCAGAAGTATTAATGCGATTATTGGCGACATCCGTCGCTAGAAAACATAATATATGCATTAAAATCCTGTTCATCCATAGTGCGAATTTTGATCCTTGAAGAAAAACTTGTTGTCTGTAGTTTCTCAGTTTATTTGATGTTAAAATGCTAGTACTTACGGACGGTCTTCCATCCATCATCAGGCATGTGTTTTTTTTTCTTATAAAATCAAAAACTTGAGACAATATATCTGTATGTCGACCGAAAGATGTTTTTTGAATATCTGCTATTGTTGACGGGTGTGTAAGATCGTGGATCAAAATTCGCACTATGGATGAACAGGATTTTAATGCATATATATTATGTTTTCTAGCGACGGATGTCGCCAATAATCGCATTAATACTTGATTAATTTATGTGTGATTATTCTTTTGTATGTAAATCATATGCTGCCTAATGTTTTATATATATATATATATATATATATATATATATATATATATATATATATAGGACAGACTGGGTTCTATAGCCTTGGATGTCAACTGGTCTAAGAGAAGGACAACTCTGAATTCAAAACCTGCGGAGGGTCGCTTGGGAACCTTGTGGCATTTTAGTGTACCAGGTCTCTGTATTCGTTCCTTCAAAATGTGGATAATTTTGCACGAAACCTTCACCACTATAATCAAATCTTATGTGTCGTTGTCGGGCTGTCGGTTTCCTGTAAACTGATCTGCTTGACCCTCATACATCGAAATCGACGGGAGAGTCGACTATATACATATATATATATATATATATATATATATATATATATATATATATGTCTGTGTCTGTGTGCGCGCGCGCGTGTGCGTATGTTGCAGTGTGTTAGGACGCCATATACTCGAAGAATAGCTACAGTTGACAGATGCCACACAATCGACAACCGATCAGTATCGATTGGGTCACCGTCAAGAAGGTGTATGATGTTGTAAGACCCGAAACCCCTAATGATTATCGGCTAAAAACATCACCGATGATGTATGCCAAGGCATCAAACCGATGTATTTCACGAATATATATAAAAGAATTAATAGATTTTTAATCTGACATTATTAAACCAAACGTTATTATAGTGGACACTCGTATTTGAAATAGACCCCTCATTTTAAATTCAAACAGTGTGTATTACATATATCAGCCTGTGCATTTGAGAAAGAATTTAGTGGAAGCCACCATTTTATCCGGTGTGATTTCTTTAAAAAATGGGAAAATAGGTTCTTGTTTAAATGTTGAATTAATCGAGACCGCATCTGAATAGGTGACCTTTTCCTTGGTTTCTTAAGATAACACTAAAGAATCGAAAGTAGTAAATGGAGTCATATGGGTAGGGTTCGTATTGAAAATGGAGGCAAGTGGCCCAGAAAGTGAAGAGAGAAATTTACTTGTCGAAAGATGTGTTTTCCTTTGAATTAAGAAGCGAAAAGTCTTGATAAAATAGCATAATGTAATTAGCGGTTGGCTATTTAGGAAGAATAAAAGCGAGGAAAAATAGTCGGGGAATGAGGAAGATAATTCAGCAAAAGGCGAAGGCCAGATTAAAAAATGTATTTACAAGACAGATCTGTGTAATGATGAGAAAAACAAAATTAATGTGAAAGAGAGGATTAGAGAAAGATTACGAACGAGAGAAAGAGAGATGAATAGTCAGAGAAAGAGAGAGAGAGGCGGACAGAGAGAGATAAGGAGTGAGAGAGAGACAGATAACGAGTAGAGGAAAGAGAGATAGGGAGTGAGAGAAAGAGAATACGAGTAAGAGAGAGATAACGAATGAGACAAAGTGAGATAACAAGTGAGAGAGAAAGGAAGAGAGATAACGAGTGAGAGAACGAGAGAAAGAAAGTGAGAGAGAGAGAGAGAGACAACGTGTGAGAGAAAGATGGAGGAAGAGAGAGAAAGAGAGATAACTAGCGAGAAAAAGAGAGAGAGAATGAAAAGAGAGAGGGAGGGAAAGAGAGATAACGACTGTGAGAAAGACATATAAGGAGTGAGAGAAAGTGAAAGAACGAGTGAGAGAGAGAGATAAGGGGTGAGAGAAAGAGAGAGAGAAAGAAAGAAAGAATGAGTGAGAGAAAGGGAGAGAGTGAGAAAGAGAGATAACGTGTGAAAGAAAAACAGGAGAGAAAAAGAGAGAGAAAAAGAGATAACGAATGAGAGAAAGAGAGAGAGTGAAAAAGAGAGAGAGAAAGAAAGATAATGAGTGATAGAAAGAGAGATAACGAGTGAGAGTAGGAGAGATAACGATCGAGAGAGAGAGAGAGAGAGAGAGAGAGAGATCGAGTGAGATAAATTTTACAGAAGGAAATAAAAAAATGTTATAAAGTGAAAGACAAAAAGAGAAGAAAAAAAAAAGAAAGGAAAAAATGTAAAAAAAAAACGCCATGAAGAAATTTGGACTGAAAAAAAATTGATAAAAAGAATTAAAGGAAAAAAAAAAAATGAAAGGAGGAAGAAAAAAGAGAAAGAAAAAAACAAGAGGTTTACGGCCATATCACGTTGAAATACCGATTCCCGTACGATCACCAAAGTTAAGAAACGTCGAGCTTGGCCAGTACCTTGATGGGTGACTGCTTAGGAATACCAGTGGCTGTGAATTTGGATGTGTGGGTGGCATAATGGATAACGGGTCAGAGTTGGAAATCAGAGAGCCGAGTTCCAATTCCAGTCGGGTTTGTTATATTCACTTACGTACAAATACTCTTCGAGAAAGGTCTTCTCCCCAACAGCTATGAGTTAATTAGTAAGACCTGTATCAGTAAATCATTATCATCTCTAAAAAATTCTTAGTGTAAAAAATAAATTTTCTGGCTTTAAATAACCAAAAATCAAAAAAAGCCAACAAGACAAATCAAAGACAAAACGAGTGAGGCAGAAAAATAGTGAGGAAAAAATTAAAAGAGGGAAGAAGAAAAAGTGATTGATTGATTCATTTATTACGGTTTATCAACCTTTTGTAATTTTTTTTTTTTAGAATTTTTGAGATAGGAAAACATCTATTAATTCTTCATTTAAATAAGGTATTTGTTGATTTTAAGTGGCATATATAGTGAATGAGGTTTTGCTGTTCATATAGCGACAAAAGGGAAGAAGCTTAGGTTACGTAGGAGACTGGCCCAGGGTAAAGGAGCTGCCGTAATGAGGCATGGACGAAAACAAAAGTACGCTATCTAAATCTTTGTATCAGAACTTTTACGCTAAGTGTTTTTTCTTACCATTTTGGGGTAGCTTTGAACAAAAAAGAATGAAGACTAATTATTTGCTTTAGAATATATTCAGAATGATGCCCAGTACTGCAATATTCGACTACGATCTACCAGTATTGCTCAGAAAATGGGGTCGTATTATACGCGCGCTATACGTAAAATCAGGTTTTCACAAAAAACGTCAGGGGTCTTACTGTACATGAAATCGACTTATACACGAATATATACGCCATCTAGAACTATTTCTTTTTTATCTAGAAATATTTTTCGGAATCGTCTTTTCTGTATGCAGTATTGTTTGGCCATGAATTGCAGCTGATCCACAACTTAATGTCTCGAGTCCTACCTTGCTTGAATTCTAGTGGGGATGCAGTCTAGAGGGTTTTTCTGGACCTGTGCAGTTCCGTAGACGCCTATAAATTACCAGACATACACGCTGTTCCTTCTTGGTAGGAACCGTCATCCCTTAGGTTGGTTAGCAATGATAATTCTTTACGCCCTCGAAATAGGATTGTCGGATGGACAGAATAATTTTTCGAGATTATCAGCCTGAGAAAGCATCGATCTATTTTTTTTGTTTTTTAATTCCAATGTTGGATACGAACATCCATCAAAGGACCATAACAAAAAAAAAAAAAGATTCTATGTTCCCTCAAATCGATGATAGTCATGAAAACATTTCATTTTTCTCTCTTGAATTATACTGGAGATGTAACACCTGATTCTTAGTTTTTCACTATCGCGTGGTCATCTGTGACGTCACGATCTGCGATGCGATTTTCGCTTCCGCGTCTCGTATATACGAGTTTGTCGTTACTTGGAAATCTTCATGCAGCAAGAGCGGACTATCATTCTTATCGTCCGTGTGTTGTTTGATATATTGAAATTGTCATCTTTGATAATTGCTTGTGTAAGCCGAAAGCTCAGATTGGATTTGAACATGTATCAATATGGTGTTTTCCTTTCGTCTTTCAACGATAATCTGATTAAGCTTATCAGACAATATGAAAGGGACTTACTTAAAATAAACAGACAAAACTTGTCTATATTATTTAATGAAACATGCATTAATATATACTGAACAGATTCAAAAGCGCCCTAAGAAAGTGCTCTATAACATAGAAAACAGTATATACATATACATTATACACACACACACACACACATATATATATATATATATATATATATATATATATGAAAATCGGGAAAGGTTTTTCATGATGCGTTTCATCTGTTGAAATTTCATCGGATGAAACGGGTCACAAAAAAACCTTTCCATTTTATCAATTTTTTCTAAATACTGTTTGTTGATATATAAAATTATACAAAATTGTATATCGTTCTATCTATCTATCTATCTATCTATCTATCTATCTATCTATCTATCTCTCTATATATATATATACACACACACACACACTGAGCCCCCGTATTCGCAGGGGTTAGGGACCAGAACCGGCCGGGAATAGTTAAATCCGCGAATAATTTTATCCACCCCCACTAAAAGTGCTTATAAGTACCTATTTTGATTGTTAAAACTTCATATGCCTTAAACTTTCACCCTAAAAACTTTAGAAACATTTCAAACCCTTTTAAAAAAACATTTTTTTGAAAAATACTGTTGGTGACTATACACTTAGCGTAAATTTTCTTTCATACGTACAATTTTACATTACGCATATATCGATAAACCCATTTAAGATACTGCATAAAACACGTGTAACAAGACGTAAAATATAAAGTTTAAAACATTTTCTAAAAACAGGAATGCTGATGCCTCCAGACTTAACATAAGCCACTTTTAAGACCCCAGCCGCAGCCCCTAACAAAGAACAAAGCCCAAGCACTACGCAGGGTTTTTGCGTTGTTTTTTTTTAATTTTTTTTGTTTTTTTTACAGTTAAGATGTACAATTCTGTCAATTTTTACCATAAAAATGGACTGTTATATGTTTTAAGTCACTTAAATAACAGGAAAATAATACAAAAATATTTTAAATATGGAAAAAATACGCGAATCGAGGGAGTTCTCAGCGAATAATTTGTACATATGTTCTTAAAAAAAACACGCGAATATTAGGGGTTTCCGCGAATAACGATTACGTATGTTCTAAAAAAAAAAAATCCGCGAATGTGTGAAGCCGAGAATGCTGAAAGGCGAATAGGCTGGGGCACACAATATATATATATATATATATATATATATATATATATATATTTATAAAAATATATATATATATAATCCGTATGGGTAAAACCTAATCCGTATGGGATAATATATATATATATATATATATATATATATATATATATATCCCATACGCTTAGATGTGGCACAAGGCAGAAAGTGTGGAGCATCCGGTGAGGATCGAACTCACTACTCAGTCGGGCTTACATCACGTCGAAATGCCCAAAGTGTGAGCAAATGGATCGCGAAAACAAAAAGAAGTCGTAAAAGAAAGGAAGAATTCCTTAGCTTAATAAAAATACAGAAAGCTGTGGAGCGCAGTGATCACTCACCTCCCGAAGAAACATGTCTTGCTGTGAGAGAGAGAGAGAGGAGGGGGAAGAGAGAGGGAAAGAGAGAGGGAAAGAGAGAGGGAAAGAGAGATCTTGAAACCTTTTTGTTGTTCTTCTTCTTCTCCTGTCTTGAAATAATTACTTCCCAGCATTCGTGTAACTGAGACTGGCTAACAGATATGTTGCAGATGTTATCTCCCGAAGGTGAGCTATCGCCTTGACAGTCATAGGCCTGTTTATGAGCAAAGATAGCCCGTACCTTCTCTGTCGCTGTTTACCGTCAGTGTTCTGCGATAACCTCCAAAAATCAATTTTATTTGCTCGTCAGGTTTATAAGAAGATTGCGTCTTGATAAGGTGAGATATTTCCTCGTCAGTAGAAGAACATATTACCTTGCCATATTTTACAATTTTCTCCTTTTTTTTTCAGTGTTTACATATTTTTGCTGCTTCTATTTTCTTTCATATTAACTGCTTTTGTCGACATTATTACTATTTTTCCAGCTATCATACACCATGACAGATTTTAAAATTGGTATGAACAAAATGATGGGAAATTTTCAAGATATATTTATTTTACATATCAACACACACACACACACACACACACACACACACACACACACACACACACACACACACACACACACACACACACACATATATATATATATATATAATTATTTATTTAAAAATATGATTCCAAAAACGCTACATAAGAAGTCTCATGTTCAAAAACAAGAGCCGAAAACTTCAATATAATTATTTAAATTAAATTGAGTTAAAATAAGCTCTGTTCCATCTTCAAGCGAAATTTTATATATATATATATATATATATATATATATATATATATATATGTGTGTGTGTGTGTGTGTGTGTGTGTGTGTGTGTGTGTATATGAAGGATCATTAATTAATTTAAAACTTTTAAAACCATTTATTTTACATTCAACATCATTATTTGATAAGACACCGGAGGTGTTGAAACAAAATGGCTATTTTTGTAGTGATTTTATAACATATTTATGTTATAATTTTTATATATATATATATATATATATATATATATATGTGTGTGTGTGTGTGTGTGTGTGTGTGTGTGTGTGTGTGTGTGAAGGATCGTTAATTAATTTAAAACTTTTAAAACCATTTATTTTACATTCAACATCATCACTTGATAAGACACCGGAGGTGTTGAAACAAAATGGCTATTTTTGTAGTTATTTTATAACATGTTCTAATTTTTATATATATATATATATATATATATATATATATATATATATGGAAACTAGAAAAGCATATCGCAGACGAGAATGTAAGGTCCCCGTTTCGGATGAGGAGCCATCCGGACCCATTTGGGCATTGGGATCAGACCCAGAAGTCCTCGTATTCGTCATCATCATTTCTCATTAGAAAGATACAGTTGAAACTCCTTACCTGGGTTTATATGAAGAGATGGCAGAGCAGGGAAAAAGAGGGATGGTTAAGAGTTGAACGTTGTTTAAAGGTACAAGAACAGGAAGCTGTGGAGAGCCAAGATCACCCACGTCCTTAGGGAAAAGGCATAAAAATGACAATGTAGATGATGATGATGATGATGATGATGATGATGAGAAATACGGGGAGAAAAATGAAAAATATGGAACGGTATGACATTCGTCTACAGATGAGGAAATATTTCACTTTATCAAGAAACCTGATAAAAACAATGTATCCCTGTAGATTAAATACAGGGCCCAGTACGAAATTCCCTGAGTGTTACCTGGACTAACAGACACCCAAAGGAGGCCGTAGGGCACAACGGCCGAAACACTGTGATAATACCAACAACGATGAGGATATTAGACTGAATGTAAATAATGA